ATAGTCACCAGGGAGGGTCCTGGGGATGCCCTTTGGTGGGAACTCAGCCCCTCCCTGGCATTTCTTACTTTATAAATGTATTTGTTACTTTCTCCCTCTGCTCACCATGTAGACCTCTGATTCAGGTTAAACCTAAAAAGTAAAGCTACAATTAGATTATAAAGCACCATTTTGCATTTGAGTATAAATACATTGTTTTTGACATGAAATATTTTAATTCACTTTCCAGTGATATAACTGAAAACAATTTGTGGGCTTTGTGTGGGAGCACAGTCCAACTTCTTCCCATATGTGGCAGTTCTCAAATACAGAAGCAAAGATACCCTGTGGGTCCCATAAAAGGCAGGGGGCCTCAGCCTGTCTCCAGGAAGCCCACCTCCCAGGCCATGCACTGTGGATGGGGTTCTAGCAATGCCAGTTGGGCCCCTTGGCAAAATTATGGAGCCTCTCCAGAAGGAGGCAAACCCCACTCCCTGAGGACCCCCCAGGCTACTAGAACAATGCCTGCCCCATCCCTCCTCCAGCTTAGGAATGCATACATGGCATCCTGACTACAGGGAGACAATCTGAGGCATGTGCCCCTGTTCTGGGGTGGGCAGCCTCATCTCCTCCCCACTGGGTCCCAGGAAGATGCTGGCCACCCACCCAGCCTCCTGGCTTCTCAAATGCCCACCCTGGCCCCAGGCCCCTGACCTCTTCAACACACAGAAGTATTCTGTGTGTCTTCAGTCCGAGCCCTGGTTTAAGGCCACAGCCTCTTGCCCTTGTCCCCATCTAAGACCTCCACCTGGGCCCCTGTGTTTGTCACAACACTCAGACTTCTTGGCATCAGTCTTCTTGTCTGGTAGATGCCATTATACAAGATGCTAACCTCCTCTCACCAGTGCCCTCAGCCCCTTACTCCTTCAGGTCCACCATTCCTGTACAACCACACCTCAGGGTGACTCCATCACCACACCTCCAGGTGTGGTCGGGGCAGCAGGGTGCCTGCAGATTAGGGTGCAAGCAGACACACGGCCTGTGCCATGCCTCCCAGCCATATTCCTCGTAGACACTCCAGCCTCTCTCCACTTCTCCAATGGTAGCAGTTACTTCAAAACTTTCCCACCCTCCTAAAACTTCCTACCAAAGACCCCCTACCCCTCACTCTCTGAATCTTGCTTTCAACCTCAGACAGAAGAAAGGAAATTTGAAAGAGGACAAAGAGGGTCAAGCAACATGGGGCCGGAAGATGAAAAGGAACAGCCAAGAGTCACTCCAGTCCCCAGCCTTCCCAGCAGCTAAGGCAGTGCCCACACATGCAGGTATGAGAAAACAGGAGGGTGGACTTTGTTTGTGCCACACTTAGATGGACACGCTGTGAGCATCCAATGGAAGATGTGGCAATTGGATATGTGAGCCTGGGCTAGAGGCACAAACTTGGGGGCCACTGGTATGTTCAGAGAATCCAAGGCAACTGTCCAGGATGAGAACAGAGAGAGAGAAGAAAAGAAGGCTTGGGATAGAAGCATAATCCTTGATCCTCCACTCCACCCAGGCTGCTGGCCTTTCAGCTGCTGACTACAAACCAGACAGGTGCAGAAGCTGCTCAGGGCACTAAGAAAAGTACTATCTGGCTGAATGTCCCTGACAGAAGCGTGTGGTTGGGGACAGGCAGCTGAGCCATGGTTGGGAGCCGGCTGCAGGGGCAGCAAGCGGAGAGCAGCCCAGCCATTAATTCACTTTCCAGTGATATAACTGAAAACAATTTGTGGGCTTTGTGTGGGAGCACAGTCCAACTTCTTCCCATATGTGGCAGTTCTCAAATACAGAAGCAAAGATACCCTGTGGGTCCCATAAAAGGCAGGGGGCCTCAGCCTGTCTCCAGGAAGCCCACCTCCCAGGCCATGCACTGTGGATGGGGTTCTAGCAATGCCAGTTGGGCCCCTTGGCAAAATTATGGAGCCTCTCCAGAAGGAGGCAAACCCCACTCCCTGAGGACCCCCCAGGCTACTAGAACAATGCCTGCCCCATCCCTCCTCCAGCTTAGGAATGCATACATGGCATCCTGACTACAGGGAGACAATCTGAGGCATGTGCCCCTGTTCTGGGGTGGGCAGCCTCATCTCCTCCCCACTGGGTCCCAGGAAGATGCTGGCCACCCACCCAGCCTCCTGGCTTCTCAAATGCCCACCCTGGCCCCAGGCCCCTGACCTCTTCAACACACAGAAGTATTCTGTGTGTCTTCAGTCCGAGCCCTGGTTTAAGGCCACAGCCTCTTGCCCTTGTCCCCATCTAAGACCTCCACCTGGGCCCCTGTGTTTGTCACAACACTCAGACTTCTTGGCATCAGTCTTCTTGTCTGGTAGATGCCATTATACAAGATGCTAACCTCCTCTCACCAGTGCCCTCAGCCCCTTACTCCTTCAGGTCCACCATTCCTGTACAACCACACCTCAGGGTGACTCCATCACCACACCTCCAGGTGTGGTCGGGGCAGCAGGGTGCCTGCAGATTAGGGTGCAAGCAGACACACGGCCTGTGCCATGCCTCCCAGCCATATTCCTCGTAGACACTCCAGCCTCTCTCCACTTCTCCAATGGTAGCAGTTACTTCAAAACTTTCCCACCCTCCTAAAACTTCCTACCAAAGACCCCCTACCCCTCACTCTCTGAATCTTGCTTTCAACCTCAGACAGAAGAAAGGAAATTTGAAAGAGGACAAAGAGGGTCAAGCAACATGGGGCCGGAAGATGAAAAGGAACAGCCAAGAGTCACTCCAGTCCCCAGCCTTCCCAGCAGCTAAGGCAGTGCCCACACATGCAGGTATGAGAAAACAGGAGGGTGGACTTTGTTTGTGCCACACTTAGATGGACACGCTGTGAGCATCCAATGGAAGATGTGGCAATTGGATATGTGAGCCTGGGCTAGAGGCACAAACTTGGGGGCCACTGGTATGTTCAGAGAATCCAAGGCAACTGTCCAGGATGAGAACAGAGAGAGAGAAGAAAAGAAGGCTTGGGATAGAAGCATAATCCTTGATCCTCCACTCCACCCAGGCTGCTGGCCTTTCAGCTGCTGACTACAAACCAGACAGGTGCAGAAGCTGCTCAGGGCACTAAGAAAAGTACTATCTGGCTGAATGTCCCTGACAGAAGCGTGTGGTTGGGGACAGGCAGCTGAGCCATGGTTGGGAGCCGGCTGCAGGGGCAGCAAGCGGAGAGCAGCCCAGCCAGATGCTGTCTCTGAAGGGCATCTCTTGACTTTGAATGTTTTCCTAAAGGATAATCTTCCTTGGGAAAAAGAGATCAGAAGTTTAAAGAAGACAGGTGGTGTGTACAAAAATCAAGGGAAAAATTAACCATAAATCATGTTGCTGCCATGTGAAAATATACAAGTCTTCAAACAACAACACAACTTGTAAAAGAGTGGCAGATTCTTAATATCCAGGCAACCCGAAGAGTTGCTGCCTCATCAGCTTGGCATCAAGTCCCTAGTAGGAGTGGGAAGGGTTCCTCAGTTGTCCACAGTGCTCCAGGCAGGATTTGCCCCTGGCCCTGCTTTGGGAAACACCAGCCCAGCCCCAGCCTTGCCCCAGTAGTACGTGTGCCTGGGCAGTGTATTCTGCCCAGTAGGGACAGGAAGAAGTGAGTCCAGGCAAGAAGGCACCACCTGCCCTGCCACCTGAATGGCATGATTAGGACTGTGCTACAGCAGAGCCGGGCCTATTAGGACAGGCGGTCATGTGGTCCAGGGTACAGGGTGGCCCTGGGCTCTGAGCTAAAAGTTACCAAGGCAGGGCAGCAGAGAGGAGGTGGGGGCCAGTGAGAAAGCCTGGGGCCACCCTATCCTCCAGGGAGCCAGTCACCCAGGCCAGGCACATGCCCTCATCTCCACCTCCTCCAGCTCCCTCTTCCCCTCTCTGCAGTCCAGCTATTGCCGAATGCTGCCAATGCTCCTTGTGCAGCTTCACTTAAACTACCCTCTGAGTATCCTGTTTTAATTAGAATCTTCTGACCCACGCAAGACAGCTGCAAACCTGTTAAATGCTTTTCTCTCAACTGCTCTTCATAATCCTGACACTGAGTGTGACGTTTGATTCTGCTGCCCAGATTCTGCCCATCACTGACAGGATAAAATCCAAACTGCTTCCTGCCCGGCGTCACAGTTGCCCAGCACACCATGTCCCAATCTACAGCCCCACCTCAGCACTGTCCACACCACACCATGCTCCAGACGCACACACTCTTCTCTCTGAGGCCTCTTCATGACCCCATCCTTTTAATTCACTATTCCTCCCTCCCACTTGGAATATCTTTGTAGACTCCCCATTCACCACCTACTGAACTCCTCTGCACTCAGCAAAACCCATCTTGCATGTACCTTTTTTGTTAAGGTTCCTTGTCTCCCTCCAAAGTTTCTCACTACCAGCTCTGTGCCCACACCTGCCTGTTGATCTGTTCATTGCCACAGAGGAGAGATGTGCTTCAGCTCATTTGTAAACATGGTGGTCCAACAGGAGGCCATGAGCTCTTCAAGATTGTGAGGGTTTTGTAGCTACAGGGTCTGGCCAACGCCTGAACACTGAACAAATGGGTCAAGAACCTCTCTCTAAGGCAGCTCCAGGTGACAGCCTCAGCCCTCTGAATTCCAGCTCTTCCTCACACCCTTGCCCACATGGCAGTCCCAAAGGCATGGCAGATCTCTGATGTGCCCCAACTCCACTGGCCTCAGTGCCCAGTTATCGGCAGCCACTGCCCCATTCTGCACAAGCACGGCCCAGCTGCCCAGGCACCAGCTTCCTGACGACTAGATCAAGAAGTGGTCTGTGTCACCACACTGTGGAGCAGTTCAGGTCTGAGACCCCTGGGGCTGGCTCTCTGTGGATGGGCAGTGGACACAATCACTCATACCTATATTTCCCCTGCCAAAGGCCCTGCTTTATGTGGCTCTGCACCCCCAGTCACCCTATAGGCTGAGGAGTCCACGGCAGGGTGGAAGGATGGACGGTCTGGCACTCACCCCTGACGCGGGATTGGCTGTCCAGCCCAGCTCTGCAGTAGCCGTCCTGGTGTCCATTAATGTTTCTGCAGGTCAAAAAAAGAAAAGCCTGTGAGTCAGAAGGACCTCTGGACAGTGGCATGTATGTCTGTTTTGTTTCTTACGGCCGCAAGTGCAGTGCTGGAGCCTCGGGCCCCTCCGGGAAGCCCAAGGCTCAGCTCAGAGAGGGGAAGAGGTGTGCTAGGGCAACTCAGTTCATGGCGGCATCGGGGGCACACCTCAGGTGTCCTGCCCTGCTCAACCCACATGACCCAAAGCTGCCTGTGTGGGATGAAGTTATCTGGCCATCCACCACTTTACCCCGAAGACACGCCTTCTTCCTGCACATCTCTACCTAGAGGCTCTTCCAGGGCCATGTTGACACAATAGCCAAATTTAATTCCTTCCTCAAGCCTTCCTAGGCCACCTCTTTTCACCCTTTTCCACCCCATGGGCTGCTTCTCCAGCATCATCTGTCCCCACCACACTCCTCTGCCTCCTCTTTGAGCATCTATGTTGATACCCTTGAGTGATTTCCCATCAACTCCTCTGGCCCAACCCTGCCCCCTAGACTCAGCTCTCCTGCAGGTCCCTTTGCCCCTGGGCCCAGACACATGCCCATCCCTTCCCCAAGACTCCCCCAGGGGCTCTCATGCCTTGGCAAAGGCTTCCCCAGAACACAAGTGCTCGTGTCAGGCCACAGCAGCTTCCTGGTTACCATTCCCTCTGGCCAGAAGGGAAAGGCAGACATGCTGACTCAGCTGTGAGCTCCTGGGGACCAGGGTAGCTACAGCACACACACCAAGCTCCCCAGGCACCACGTAGTGACCAGAGGGTTGCTATGTATTACGACAGTTTTCTAGCAGATAGCACTAAATTGTCCTGACAACAGCATGTCTCTTTTTGCCTCTTTTTTCTCTTTAGTTTATTATTGATTGCTGTCAGCCCCCACATCTCAATGGAAATTGCTCCCCACAGGTTGCTCATGGGCTCCTGATCAGCAAACTCAAACGCTCTTCATCTTTTTTTAAGAGCTTCATCGAGGTAGAAATGAAGTACAATAAACTGCACATAATTAAGGCATTCGAGTTGGTAAGTTTTGACTTATATTTACACTCGTGAAACCATTGCCACGATCAAGATAATGAACATACCCATCATTCTCAGAAGCGTCCTTGTCCCGGTGTAATCCTTCCTTCCCCCCTGCTCCTGCCCCACCTCATCATTGTCCCCAGACAATGACTGATCTACTCTCTATCACTAGAAATTAATTGGCATTTTCTAGAATTTTATATAAATGGAATCATATAGTATATTCTGTTTTTTACCTGGCTTCTTTCACACAGCATAACTGCTTTGAAGTTCGTCATGTTGCTTTGTATTTCAGTAATTCATTCCTTTCCATTGTATAGTAATGTTCTACTGTGCAGACACACTTCACTGTATGTCTACCCATTTACCTGTCACTTCCAGTTTGCACCATCACATGAGAGTGTATGAGAGTTCCAGTTTCTCCACAATCTCACTGACACTTGGCACAGTCCGTCATTTTCAATGTTGGACATTTTAGTGAGTGTGTAATGGTATTGCACGGTGGTTTTAATTTTCATTTCCTTACTGATGAATGATTTAAGCATATTTTCACATGCTTATTTGCCATCTTTATATCTTTTTTGGTGAAGTGTCTATTCAATATTTTTTCCATTTTTTTAAATAGGGATGTTTTCTTATTATTGTGTTTGGAGAGATCTTTATATATTATGGATACAAGTCCTTTACCAGATAGATGTTGTGCAAATATTTTCCCCTGCTCTGTGGCTTGTCTTTTCATTCTTTTAACAGTATCCTTCAAAAAGCAGAAGATTTACATTTTGATGAAGTCCTGTGTATCCATTTTTCATTTTTATGATTTGGTGTCACAGCTGAGAAATCTTTGCTTAACCCAAGGTCACACAGGTTTTTTTTTTCCTACTTAGGTCTATGACTTATTTTGAGTTAATTTTTGCATAAGGTGTGGGGTGTGGGTCAAATATACAATTGTTTTTTTCAGGCAAGTATCCAATTGTTCTAGAGGGGAGCCTATTTAAATTCACACAACGGTGCTATTCAGGCTGGTAGAGGTGTCTCATCCAACTGGATTTCCCAAGGCATGTATCAAAGGAGCAGGCAGAGCAGATTCTAGCCACACAGTTGCTCAACAATCAGAGGCAGGGGAAATATACAGAATGTGTTGCTTTAGTTTTTCCCCCTTGTTTGCTTTTTCTTCTGAACACCCCTCCATCCCATGTGAACAGCCATTCTGTGCTTAACTGCTTCAGGCAGGAGATGGGAAGTCTGAATGCAGAAGGCAGAGTTATAAAATCTTGAGCCCCTTAGGAAATACGAAGACTCCTGGCATAAACCAACAGTTTGGGAAGAAACTTGGCCCATGGGCAGGATGGAGGGGATGAAAACAGACGTGATAAAGGAGGTCTGTGTTAGGCACAGGGCTCCCTATGCTCTCGTCTCCCAGAGCTCAATCCCAGAGAAGGGAGAACAGGAGTCTGTTGGGGTGATCGGGCCTTGGACTTCTAGCATGCCAGCATGGTGATACAGCAGCGAGTGACCCCACCAGGCTAGTGCAGAACAAAGCAGAGGGAGATTAGGGCCTGAATGGGTCTAATGAAGGGGCCCCAGAGCCACTCAGGGGTAACCTTCATGGACTATAGCAAGGGGAAGATGGGGCACAGGGTTTCTCAGCAGGTGCCAGTGGCTCAGGACTGACGAGGCCAGTGAGGCACCCTCCTCCACAACCTGACCCTCTATGGCACAGCCTGCCAGTAACCCAGGTCACATTTCTGCCACTCCAGGGGAATGCAAGCTTGGACTCAAACAAACAGAAGTACAGTAAACAAGGCAAGCTGGATATTCTTGCCCATTTGAGTCTGGGTTTGGATTGAGAGTCATACCATGCCTATCTGAAGGAGAGCGAGCACTGGAACGAACTTCTCGAGTTTGTTTTCTCCTCTGATTCTTTTGACAGCTGGGGAGGCTGATCCCTGTGTGGCGCAACCCTCCCTCTCCCCCTCATCTCCACTTCACAGCACTACTAATGATCATAATGACACACCAAATTTACATAATATACTTCTCAGAAGACACTTCATGAGTCTCTGTAGAAATTCATCTCTGTCATTAAAATACCTCCTCCAGGTGGGCCTGAGGCAGGAGCCTCTAAACCCATTTGGCAGAGTTGGGGACCAGAACAGAGAAAGGTGAAGTGTTTTCCCCAGGGTCACACAGCCTCCCACCCTACTGGCAGCCTCAAAGCTCAGCATGCTGCCCACAGGCAGACAGGGGCTTCCGGGGGCTCTGCTGTGGCCCTGGGGTGGGGGTGGAAGTATCCTGTTCATAAGCCAAAAGGCCACAAAAGCCGCAAGGATAAGGCAGCCCTCACAGTCAGGATCGTGCTGAAGCAGCACCGTGCAGGCGGAGGGTGCAGGCAGTGCAGGAAATAAGGTCCAGACGCTGCCCTCACTCCTAAATCTTCTAAGGACTGGTTTGTTCTGTTAACCCAATTAATACAGTCTAAGACATACTATATACATAATCATCTCCTTGAGGGCTGTAATTGAATCTGCTTCTAAATAATGTTTTCCATCCACCCTATTCTGGAATCCAGAAGTTGGACAGCAAGAGGAACCCATTTCTGTGCATCTTGCCGCCGTGGAGATGGAGGACCACAGAACCGTAAACAGTCCACTCCATATGATTAAGGGCAGTTTCTTTTCTGGCATAGAATGCTCCTGATTATGGCGTTACCTTCTGGTGGGGGCTGAATAAAAGTGATTTGAGGAGGTTTACATCTCCCTGGAGAGGAAGAGAACACTCATTTGCATTTATAAAGCATATTGAGAGTTCTGGCAGAAAGTTATGGTGGAAGCACAATTAAATATTTACCATCACTTCTGCTCTCAAACAGTGGCATGGGGACCAAACCAGCTGGAGGTGCATGTGTTGGCTGTCAGATCTGATGCCTACAGGGGACGTGACTCTGGGACCCACAGCCCCTGCCTGGCATCGGCCCTCCGGGAATATGTCCTCACTGCCCACAGGAGGAAAGGCGGGAAGGCCGCTCACAGAGGGGAGAGAGGGCGCTGGGGAGGGCAGACAGGGCCCAGGGCCACAGCCATCACGTACTGACAATCCCCGTCTCCCGCTCCAGCTCTCGTTCTCACCCCCTTTCTCCTCATCTGAGGAATGGGGCTAGAGCCAAAGAGTATGCAAGACGAGGGGAGGGGAAGGATGCAAAATACATGCTATTATTAGTGTAACTGAATCACTCTGGGCTTCAGGTTCCTTAGCTATGAAAGCATCTTATGATGGGCTCTGTAAGACACCTCTAAGATATCTATAAGGATCCCTGATACTAGATAACTAATGCTAACTCGTCTGCCTCCTTCCTTATATTGTTGTAAAGACCAAGGGGTGGCACATGTTGAGGACAGAGCAGCGAATCAGAGTGGTGGGTGCCCTGGAGGGACTCACGGTCTGGTCCACAGAGGGACAAGAAGTGGCACACACATGGCATTCTATTCTGGCCGAGCCCATGCAAAGGAGACTGAGAGGCTCAAGGGAGTGAATGTGGTTCTTCTGCATGTGGGGAGCAAATGGGCCCCTCCCAGTAAGAAGAGCCAGGGAGCCTCACACTGGTGTAGGCAAAGTGAGACGCTGAGGTCCTGTGGGCCAGGGTAGCATTGGTAGGCAGGGAAAAATGGAGATCCCCACCTGGCTCTGGGGGCTGACTTGACAGAGGGACCCCAGGGGCAACACGTGGAGGAGCAGAGACAGGTTGATGGGAATGAGGTGGGAGCTGTCCCACACATAAGGGAGGGTGAAGAAGTCTGAGCAAGAACAGAAGGGGAGTCAGGAGGAGAGCCAGAGAGGGGCCTCTGGCAAGAGAGTGGGCCGGACTGGCAAGAGCCCGAGAAGGATGGGGCACAGGAGGAGCCTGGCAAGGGGAGCCCATTTTCCCAGGTGACAACTTCCCTGCAGAGGCTTCTATATG